TGTCTTCAATTCAATTTTGTTCACTTTTATTTTCATATTTCTTTTTATTTAGAGAATTTAGAAAAGTTGTTTATTTTTGTTTATATTTTTACGAAGTGTGTGAATAGTGGCAGCCGTTTCTTGTTTCTTTTGTATAAATACATAACAAGTGCAATATATTTCATACATTCAATTCATGTAACAATTGTTAGTAATTTCCCTATTTGTTTTTATTTAAATTTTAAGTCACGCTTTGGTGTTAACTAATACCAGTACTTTCGTGCCATCTTCTTATAAGCGGCTCCGGCTGACAACCAGCGCTACAGGAGCGGGCTGTGACATAATGTAATCATTAATTTCTTTACTATAAGTCTTAACAAGCTGAATAAATGTTTCTTTCTTCTTTTTTCTTTCTTAGCCAAGACCCGTGGTTAGCAGTGGGACGTATAGTAGGTGGATGATGAATGTAGGTCAGTGTTACACGGAAAATGAGTGCTCGACACTATGATATTATGTGTCGAAATGTTGGATGGCTAAAAAATTTTGTTTTCTATGTTTGTGTTACCTAACAATATAAATTACCTAATAATTTGACATGTGCACGTTAATTTTGTATTTTTTTCTAGCCATCTACTCAACGTATTTGTACCTGAAAGCGATATCATGAAAGACAAAAATTACTCGCGAGGCAAACATCCGTCGGTTACTGAAACGTCTGAAAACGTAAGAAGTAATGCATGAAACCTCTTTCATTACATATTCGCTGTTTTCCTGTGCGCTCAATAATTTGGATATCTTCATGTGACGTTATTGAATATAATGTGTACAATAATAATACCGCACACACTCATAGTTCCGCAATAAGGAAAACCGTGCGTGTCTTGGACACACACCTAGACAACCACAAATTACACCCAAACTCACGAGATAAATAAATGTAGACCATACAAATATTGAAATGTGTGGCAGGACCCAAACAAACTTTTTTTCATAACGAGTGAATATTTACTTCAAGTGATTAATCTCGATGACTTCACGGTTTGCAACAGTGGACGTCAATTGAGCAGGTTCTCGGTTCGATTCGCAGTAAGACCTATTTGGGAAATTAACTTTTTTACATTAGTTCGGGTAATCTTTTTTTACAATACCAAGTGACGGGTCGAACAAGTCGTACTGCGTTCCACTTTTGAAGGGTAAGGGTGCTGGTGAAAGCCACATGAGACTTGCCAACTTATGACTCGGTGTAAAGGGCGCAGTGGCAGTGCACCTAAGATCTTTGCTATTTAAAGCCCTGTGTGGCACTCACAGAACAATAAATACAATAGAAGTGGTTAGTTAGCGTCTGACGCGTGCCAACTATAGGTCTCGAAGAACATATTTGAACTCAGTCCGGCATTTTCGTTTTGTGTGGTATGGTTGTGTCATTCCCCCGTGCAAATCCTCTAAAATCCTAGAAAATGCTTTATTGTGCTGTTTTGGAGTGCAAAAATGATAGCAGCACCAAAAATATAACTCGTGGCGGTATTACATATCATCGCAAAACCTTATTTTAATAAATTTTCAATTTTCTGTTTATCGAAATATTTTATTTGTTACAAGAAACGAAAGTAAAGCTTATGTCCTCGCAATACGGTCGCTTCTTTTTGGAGAACTAAATTAATAACTCTAATTCGTCGTCGTTCAGCAATAAAATCGCTAGATGGCAGCACATTGACTGAAATTTCAATATAATATCAAAACGTCGTAACTTGTAATAATAGGTATTGATGGTATAGAACTTTTAACGATAAGTCAACAGGGCAAAGTATAAATTTGATAGATAGATAACACGTATATTCAGCACAAATACAAACAGAAACAAAACATTTACAATCACTTCACAAAGTATAACACAAAATTGTATTCATTTATTCCACCTTAATACAAATGTTACATTGATATTTGTAATTAAAGATCAGCACTTGGCTTCGTCAATAGGTACTAAAATAAAAAAAGTGGGATTTGCATGAGACTTATGTATGTGCAATATGTGTTTTAAATACGTATTCTGTTGCGCCCTCAATTAATTATTATCGCACAGTGTTCCCTGGAACCCGAAGGTTGCCTGGAAGTGATTGCTATATAAGGCC